GCGCTGCTCAGCAACCGAACGCCCGGTCGCGCGCCCGCCCCCCGCCCGGCGCCGCCACGGCCGGCGGGCCCCGCCCCCCGCCGCCCTTGGCGGGTGCAGTCACCGCCCCGCCTCTCCCGCAACTCGATTGGCCCCGCGCATGTGATGCCCCGCCCCCAAACGCCTTGGCCCCGCCTCCCGGCATTGAGCTGCCGGAGCGGGGCGATGTCCCGCCTACATGCGTCCCTTCCTGATTGGAGGATACGTCTTGACGTCCCGCCCATCTGCCCACGCTCATTGGGCACAGGCACCACGGCGCTTAGAAAAATCGCAATGTTATTGGTCAGATTGGCTGTCAGTCACCGGGCCGAGGGCCGAAGTGCCGGATGGCAGCGACTCCCCAGAAAGGAGAAAGGGCCTTATTTGGGGGTGCGGCCGCCGTGCCCGACCAGGGCTGAGGAACGGCAGCTCCTCTAACCTCGCTGTGAAGACCTGCTATGAACATATATTTTCCGTAGAATTCCAGGTGATGTTCTGTGTTAGCTGTTCCTGCCGGCGGTGCCGGGGGTTGGGAGCGAGTGTGTGCTCTCCCGCATCAGGCAGTGTGCCGGTCAGCCGCGCTGGGCGGGGTTCTCGCGCGGCCGGGAGGCGCTGCGAAGGCCGCTCCAGCACCGCGATGGCGGTGGCCGAGCCGTGGGCGCGGCGCTGGCCCTGCTGGCCCTTCTGGTCCTTCTGGCTCCTGGGGCTGCAGGCGGTGAGGGCCGGGGCCGGCATGTGCGCGCGCGAGACCGACTGCGATTCCTGAAAGAGGGCGGGTGCGAGGGTGGGGTGGGGGGCGGAGTGAGACGTGTCCCGGTGCGGGCGGCGGCCACTCTCTGCCCATCCCGTTCCTCTCCTGCCTCCGCCACCGCTTCTTCTGTTCTCCTTGTCGGAGGCTGGTTTCTGTTTCACAGTTTGTATCAGTGCTGCTTTTGCTTTAATATATTAGATCATCTGGTGTGAAAGCAAAGCAATAGTGCAACGTGTATTTGTTGTCAAAGCTTTGAAGGAGAAAATGCTGCTGAAATGAGGCACATCACTGGCTAAGTGTTGTTATCTTGTTTTGTTGAGAATTCAGCTTCTGAAGTGTGAGGGTTGTTTTTATTTACTATGATCAGTACACTTACTATTTCAGGATAATATAATAGTTAAGGTCCTAAAAATTGAGGGAAAATAATGAGGAGAGAGTACCTCTCCCTTCTATTTATTTTTCTTTCCTTCCCCTCCCTATGGTTTTGTTGTCAAGCTGTTTTGAGCTTGTTGTGTAACCAAAACTACTTCACTGAGGGATTCGCTTGTAAGGGAGTCTTTACTTATTTTCATACCCGGTTTGGTTTTTCCTTGGTTCCCACTGCACGTCCCCAAAACACAGAGTATTGGCCTTATGTTTGCAGGTGCTTTGGGGTCTGCTGGGGAAAGAAGTGAGGAGTGTGGCTGGTGGAAGCAAAGTAACAATGCCGGGAACACCATTTTTGCTCCAAGGTGAACAGATCCAAAAGTGAGGAAAAAATGACAGTAAAGCATGAAAGGGGTGAATGGCAAACAGCAAGGTGCAAGAAAACTGCTTTAGGTACTACCATCATAAATTTAATCAGTGAACAATAATTAAAATGTATCTTTGGCAGGGTTTATCATCAAGTTGCACCAGAGTAGGTTTAGTTTAGATATTAGGAATAATGTCTTCACTGAAAGGGTGGTCAGGCATTGGAATGGGCTGTCCAGGGAAGTGGTGGAATCGCCATCCCTGAAAGTGTTCAAAAGGTGTGTGGATGTGGCACTTGGGGTATGGTTTAGTGGTGGACACGGTGGTGCTGGATTAATGGTTGGACTCAATGATGACCTTAGAGGTCTTTCCCAACCTTAATGATTCTATGAAAACAAACTCCAAATGTCATTTTAGTGCTATGACAGTTGGTGACATTGTTTTTGCTGCCCATAAAAAGCAGAACTGGTGTTTTACATAGAAGTCATGGAATTGAATTGCCTATTTTAATGTATTACTAAAAAATCAGAATTGCAGGTTTTTACCTACACTTCCACTTTTCATATATGATTTTCCTTTAACATTAATGCAAACATAAAGTTAAAATCCTACCTGCGTGCCTTGTTGAGCAGTTTGGTCTGTGTAGTCACTCCCTGGTTGTGTTTTTCCCATACTTACTTCAGAAGTGTGTTTTCAGTGATATGAAATTTACTGCAATTGTTTTGAAAGAGCAGGCTTTGGAAAGCTGTAGCCATGTGCATTTCAGCTGATTCATTATGTTTGGGTTTTTCTCTTAACTTGTGAATAGGAAAACAGTAGAGTTATCAGAAGTGTGTATAAATTAATTTTGGCAGGTCTGATACCTCAAAATGTACATATTATGACTGTCTGGAATTGACTCTTAGTTCAAGACTTCAAAACAAGGTGGTGTTTTGAACCTATGGGCTGACTGTTAGGCATTACTGTAGAACAGTCACAAGAGACTTAGTTGTTCTTTCTCATCATTAAAGCATTTAAAGTCTTCCTTAAAAAAAAAATTAACGCTACAAAATATCATTGTCTTGACTTTCAGATAAGTGTATATGGAGCACAGCTGTCATCAGAAGCTTGCAGAGAGCTGGGCTTCTCCAGTAACTTGCTGTGCAGTTCTTGCAATCTTCTTGGACAGTTCAATCTGAATCAGTTGGATCCATTCTGCAGGGAGTGCTGCCAAGAAGAAGCTCAGTTGGAAACTAGAAAGGTGAGTTTTGGACTAAATCCTTTGTGGAATAATTCAACATGTTATGTTTATGAAACTTTGCATTTTAAAAATATAGGAGAGTCTGCATTATACTTTCAATAGGAAAATGCAACATTTTATTCATAGCTCAATGTACATATGTAGGATCCAGATTTGCAGACTTACCATAGTGCTCTGAAATAATGTCCCTGTACAAACAGGAGAATCTTTGGTTCTTTGCCAGCTCTTCTCTGGTGTGAAGTGACCATATTTAGGAACTATGTCCAGCTTTTCTGAAGGGGAAGATGTATGGAATTTGAAGAGGGCAAAAGAAGAGGATAAGGAGACTGGTGTTACTGGCCATGGCCCTTGCTTGGTCATTGACCCATAATGTCATGGCCAGGACAGCTTAGCTCAGTCCTGAGGAACAAAAGGCTGGTGCAGCTGCCAGGTCAGCTCCTGAAATGGCACACACCTGACAGAAGCAGGACTGCTCAACTCCATTCTGCAGCAGTGAGAACAGCTAGATATTTTGGGAATGATCTTGCTCAGAGCCCATGCTGTGGATTAGTCGGTTAAATTAAGGCAAAAGCTTTCCTTTATCTGTAGTAAATAAATATCTGTGTTCCTTAAGGTCAAGGAAGAATTTTTTTTAGAGTTCTTGAAAAGAATATATATTTTCTAATATGTGGTAATTTAAGATTATAGCATCATTTCTAATATTCTTATGAATGCTGTTTAAGAAAGTGGAAATTTTTTTATACTGTTACCTCTTCTTAGAAATGCGTTTTTCAGATTTGGTGATTGTTTTGTGGTTTTAATTTTTTTTTTAAGCTTGTAGTCAGTAACTTCTGTTGAAGTCTAGCCAGTGGAAAATCAGTGTTGGGAGAAATGACTGTTAAGATAATATTAACATATTGTATTGAGAATCATCACAGTTTGGATTGACTTGTGTTTTAACATAGTGCTGTTTGTAACAGTTGCCTGTAATTAACCTCAAGATTTTACTGTTACATAAAAATTAACAATGTAATTTATAGTAGCTTCTTGCTAAACAAGAATTTTCATGACATGCATGCAGAATAGAAAAACTGAATGCTGCCTTTAGCTGTAGTTTTTCCCATTCCCTCTTTTTTTTTTCAGGTTACCATAGAAATCTTCTTTCTAATGAAAATTTGATAGTAAAGAGTAAATGGATGTCAAAAGTCTTAAAAGGGTTTTTTTCATACCCTCTTGCTTGTAGAACTTTTAATCTTACTCTTAAAACCTGCATCTCGATGTAAGATGTTTGAATTGCTGATTTGCAGCCTCGTACGTTGCTGAGTTCCAGAGCCAGTGGTGCTCTGGGTTTTGCTAATGCTGTGACTACGTGCTTGAACATCCTCAGAGTACAGGAGGCTTTTTTTCTGAGCCATGATTCCCGTACATGACGTAGCTTGTTAGTTATATGAGCAGGTATTTGCTCCCATGGTGTGGGACAGCATGTTCATAGTCTGTGCTACAACTGGATTTGCAAACTAAAGAATTCCAGGGCCGGCCTCAGGATTTGAATTTAATTCTCTTTGCAAATGTGTGGCAAATATTAGAAACAGGGAAAGCAGGAGTTAATTTATTGCATGACTTCTGCCTGAGTTCTAAATGAGAATTTAAAGTTTAAGGGGATAGCACATCTCTCTGAGAATTTTTATGTAATTGCTACTTTTCACAAATGATCTGTGAAATATCCTCAGGGCTAAAAATATTTTGTGCTGCATGGTATCAGTGCAACCTCAAATGAGATGTTTACAGATTTGAACTGTTTCATAGCCTTGAAAGATGTTTATTAATCCTGGTTTTGTTATTGGTCCAGTAGTTTGTGAATTGAGATTGTGGAAAATAGCTGTGAGGTACTCTTGTTACCCAGAATTTGTCTTGCTCCAAACTTCTGCTGACACCTATCCAGTGAAATATTTTAATTACTTCAGAATTGGACTATGGGTAAAATGAAAAACATGGTTTGGTTATTTTCTCTTCCTCTAGAGATTTTGTGTGCAGTTTCACACTAATTCAGAAGCTAGCTTAAACAGTATTGCTTTAGACAGCTGCAAGTTTTAAGCCTCAGTCTGTCAGATGCAGAATACTGCTGGTGTGTAAAATGTAGAAGGATGAAATGGAGGTGAAGCTAACTGTGCATGAAATTGTAGTAGCAGGAGAGATTGTCCATATTTTGCAGTAGCTGAAAATAGCTGCACTCCATCTGCAGCTTCACTTAGTCTGTGTGATCATTTCAGACATAGCTATAAGCATATTCCATTAATTGTGTATTATAATCTTAGATTTATCTCAACAATATATGCGTGTCAAAATCCAAATTGATTTTAAAAATCAGCTCTGTGATAAAATTTGCAATACATTAAATTTTCCAGTTGCGCTGTGCAGGATTGCTACAACCCGCACAAGTTATCAGTATGTCTAAATGGAGCTTTGAAATATATTTTTGCTCACGGAGATGTGTTGAACTTCAGCATTTTAAATTTCTACTGTCAAGTACTTGTCATGTTGTAGTGTTATGGTGTTTGGTGACTTAGAAAACACAACATCAGGTGTAAGCAAAAGTTGAGTAATGAAAATGGATGGTTCAGATGGCAAGTTGTCATGGGTAACTTCACACGTGTCTATTGTACACTATTTCGAAATAGTTTATGGTTCTGCTGTGAAACAAGGCAAACAGTGATACAGAAGTCTGTATGCATAATTCTGAAGTTCCATGGAGATGAGTAATAACTGCTCCATTCCACAAGTTTAAGCAAAAAGTCTAAAATCCTGAGATTTTTAGCAAGTTTCTTGCGTGTATTCAGGGTTATCAAAATATGCTAAACTGTCAAAGCATGGTTTAATCATTTATTGAAATATCTAGCCTCTGCATTGCTAACGTAATGAGAAGTTTAGGATTATTTTTCACCAAATTTGTGATAGATGTAACAATATAAGTAACTAAAATATTTCAGAAACTTGAAATGGATTATTGCACTCTAAGAGGGGAGGTTTGCACCTTGATGTTCTTCCCACACCATTAAATATAAAAGTTTCCTTTCAAAGTTAATGCAAGGCTATAGACATAACCCCATTAGCAGTAGGCAAACAAAGTGGATGAGACTTAGAAAATAGTGGTATTTAGAGACTTTAAATACTGCGTTTTCTCAACATCTTGAAAAATGCTGAAAAGGGAGAACCACCTGGGGAGAAAATCCTGAGAATGCATACTATAACACTCTGGAAAATGGAGGGAAAAGTCGAATCACAACAGTTGAACGTTTCCTAGATTTTTGGTGTTGATTTCTGCTTGCCATCTGGGTAGAGGTGTCTGCACTGCAGTTGCATTGGTCAGAAGGTGTGGCATAGGCATATTTGCACACCTGTTCCCCAGTGTCACATTGTAACCAGTGCTGTACTTAATCAGGTACTTGGACATTTCTGCAGGAAGATGGTATCATGTTTTCAGTGCATCAAGCCATTCTTTTCCTTGAAAGTCCTTGGTACTTGTAATTGTGGGAAGTCGTTTTAAGGCATGAATGATTTGGTCTGTTTCAGTGCTGCAAAAACACAGAACTTCTGGTCTGTTGAAATTGCAGCCTGAACTCTGAACCCCTTTTTCATTATGATGAATATTACTTATGTTCTCCTTATGATGTATTTTGGCCATAATTTAAAACCCTTTCTTTGCATAGAGTTAGTGTTGGATCCCTCTTTGAAATGAAATAAATATTTGCTGTAATATTAGTAATAAACATGACCATTGTCATTATGACTATGTGCTACTTTTATTAAAAAAATATCAAATGGAAAGCTTTCTTAAAATTCTACCCTTTTACATGTACAGGCTTCTTAAATGTGCTGTTATGAATTACAAGCAGAAATAAGGTGATTCTTGTTGAGACTTTTTAAAACTCAAAATAGTTTACAAAACTCACAGTAATTACTGGAAGTAGAATAACTTGAAGTGCTTTTAATGCTTCAGGCTACTCCTGTGTAACCCAATTTACGTTCATTTTTCAGGGTTCTTTTTCTTTTCATTTCACTAATTAAAGTGCTACACTCAAATTACTGTTGGCTGTCTGCTTGTTCTGCCAGAGGCTCTTAATATGAATAGTTCCAGTGAAGCAATCTCATCTCCCTAGTTTTCAGCTCGATGGTTAAAAACAGAGAACTCCTTAGAATGCATTGACATCTCAGTGGGATAATGTAACTCAAAGTCATATCAATGCTTGTGGAAACAAATTAGAATTTTAGTTTACTTCTAGCTGTTTCTCAAAACCCACATCTTTTTCTGGTTTTTGATGTGTTTTGTAAAGTCTTTTGACTGCTTTGTAAAAAAACAAATTATGCTTTTACATAACTGTACTCCTTATTTATAACATGGTACATAAAAATGGTTCACGTTCATTGTTTTTATCAAGTGTGACTTAAAGAATAGTGTAATTCAATGACAGCGTATTTTATTTAACACTCGAGTAAATAATCAGAACTCTGTGATTAAGTCTAATATGTCTAATATGTCATGTGATCTCCCTTCAAAGTTTGCTTTTAACTAAGAAGTGTCCCATACAGGAATAATTTGATGGGAAGTATTGATAGGGAAGTTAGGGGAATTGAGCTGACTCTGTTCCCTCTAATTGAGACAGTCTCTTACTGGAGTACTGCTGCTTCAGAATATTATGCACAACCGTTCCTTGTACTAAAAATGTGCTGCAGTGGATGTCCTTCTCACAAACTTTACCATGTACAGTCTTTCCCTTCCTTCTGTACATGATGTTATCAGCAATGAAAATTAATGTTGACAAACAGTAGTACTAGATAAGGAAGGTGCAGATAGCTGGTCAGTGCCTAAGACAGAAATCTTTTGTTTGGCTCAGATTCACCAAAGATTCATCTCTGTCAGATCAACTGAGATAAAATACATTATCTGTCTGTAACAAGGCAAGTCTTACCTATGGGAGACCTCTATCGAGTCTTATCAGTAAAAAAGAAAATGTTGGGGAAATGATAAATGTGAATTTGCTAAATGTGAGTTTAAATTGTTGATGTGCATCTATGCTGGTGAATGGATGAGGTTTAGCTAATTAAGGCTGACCTTCATCATTTGACTCTAAATTTGTTGAAAAAACTTCAAAAATTAAAGGTCTCAAAATTAATGAAATGTGTGAGGTCAAATGAACAGCTCATGAGATCTGTTCTCTTTTCAACTCTAAGGTGCTTTGTTTTTTAATAAAAGCATATATTCTGGAGAATAAAAGAGATGTTCAGGGATTATACTTCTAGAGGTAAGTAGATGCTTAGATAGAATCAGATGGTATATTCCAAAATTGAAACTTGAACTATTAACTTTCTATTTCTGCGTTTTTACTTGCCTAATTCTGCACATTAGGTCCAAGTGAGAGCCTGTACACAGGAGCCCTTTTTCTGCCATTCTTTCCTATTCCACCCCCACTGAAATTGGGCATTCACACCACCAAGTCCAAGCTGCAGTTCCAGAGGTCTAAAGCTGATGGTTGCTCAGCTTCTGGTCACACTTCTCTCTCATGCTTGTGCCAGATCTCGTGCTCACATGACCTTACACCAAACCATTTCATAGAGCAAAGTTAACAAAGATAGTCTGCCAGAAATGGAAGTTGTTTTGGAATTTTTCAGTGGTTATTGGATTTAAACAGCAAAAACATTTAAATAATCCTGCAAGGAGGATATTGTTTAACACAAAAATTAAAACATTTAAATGGATGACATGTTTCCTGTATTCTGGAGAACATAACAGATTACTGTTACATGCACCGCTATGTTTTGTACATACAGAATAAAAAAGTTGAGTCTCCTGCTCAAAGCAGAACTCAAAGTTCTGAGGATCCCCAAGAATGCAGATTCTACAACCTTTCTTAGTAAATTGTTTCAGTGCTTAAACATCCTCATTGTGACTTTTTTTCTCACCCTCATATTCAGTTGGAATTTCCTTCTCTGCGAATAAATGAGACCTTAGTTCAGAGGAACTTGCCTGTAATGCATACCACTGATCCCAGGAATAGCACTGATTCACTTAAGTGGTTTTTGACTGTTAGACTCTGTTTCCAAACTCTTATTTGGAGTTAGGCATCACCCTTCACAGGATAATGAGTTGTCAATGGGAGAAGTTGCTTTGTTGCTAAATTTACTGATGACATCAGTTTGGAATGATGTGTGTGTAGCAATAACTTTACTGGCTTTCTGTATCACAGAGCAGTAATTCATAATGTTCCTGGCAGCGAGGCTTTCTGACTGTTCTCTGTTAACTCACAGATTCTTACTCATGTTCTGCCTCCAGGAAAAAGAAAGACTAGAGTGATTTTGAAAACTTTGAATTGTCCATATAAATACCATGCATTATCTCCCATAGAAGAAAAAACATTTTATAGTTTATATCTCAGTGTATATTCTTTTAAAGTAATTTAGTTTTCTACTAAAAGTCACAAATGAACTGGTAGTTAGAGGAGTTTAGGAAAACGCAGAAGAAACTTGCAACAAAATCTCTTTTTGTTGTAACTTAATTTCTCAGAAGAACAAATATTGATCAACATGTTGGTTTGCTTTCTGGGTGGATGGATGGAACACAGTAAAAATTTGCACGCCTTTCAAAAAAAAGAGATAATTCATCCTGTTTTTTCCACAGTACTGGTTTTTACATACCAAGCAACTTAGGCCATTAAGAATAATTATATCAATATTTTTCCTGACATTTTTTGAAAGAAAACAATAGTTTGAGTTGATAGAATATAAGGAGGTCTCTTCATCAGATCTGCTTATAATATAATATGAAATCAAAATTGCAGTGAATTTCATAAAAAAATTGTTTGCATTGGAAAGAGACTAGTTGTTGGTCAGTATTTAGTGGAAGATTGTTTTGTACCTGAGGCAAGCAAAAATTCCAGAGTTTTAGCTGTAGTCATAAGTTATGCTTTACTGCTTATTCTCAGAGGTTAACTGCACTTTTTCAATAGTTTGATATTAGGAGAGAACAATGTGCAGATATCAGGGAGAATCCAGATACCATGAGGCAGCTTTTGACCATCGTGTGGCTTTATCTTAACAGCCCCTTCCATTTGATTTCTTTAGACATGCTGATAACTATGTTTCTTTCAGCTGATTGCAAACAACTGCACAAATCCAGTTTGAGTGACACTTTGTAACCTGTGTTAGGCAGGGTCAGACTTAGTCATTAGTTGGAAGAAACCAGTCTTTAAGACATTGGTGTCATAGAAGTAAAATTAGGTATAACTTTTTGTATTTTATGCAACTTTTTAGTCACCTTTGATCTAGCATAATTTTATTATGATCAAGGAGCATTCTGTGTTAAGTACCACTTTTTGCAGTTCAGTTTGATCTGAGTTTCTGTAAACAGTAATGGTTACATAGCAGGAATGCAATTTTTCTTCTGCAGTGTTTGCCATGAGAAACTGTCATAACAATACCATAACTGTGCATAAATGAGACACCATTGGAATTGTCTTGCAGAAATATCTTCAATTCCCTTCCTAAGAGCAGGTGAAATGTTTCCTTTCACCCAAGTTAAAGTTCCTTGGTTTTACTTACTGGAACAATTATTTTTACAATGCCTATGTTTATTTAGCACAATTCTTACGTAAATGGTGGTATTCTGCTGTAATTGCCACTTTCATTCTTCATTAAAGCAAATATGACCAATAGTGTGGTTTTCCTCTTCTCAGTTGTGCAGAGCCATCTTGATTACATCAGTACAAACTGTAACAAGAGCTGCAGGTGCTTTAGCAAAGCTTTTGAATGAAATTGAACTCAAGTTGATGCTTTGGAAAAGGTGAGGGAAGAGTTCAGATATTGTCACAATAGAAAGACAGAAAGCATGCTATTAGAATGTTGTAAAAAAAGCTAAGTAATTTTTATAGATACAGGCATGAATCGGCCTGGAAATCATAACAGCATTTGCTTTGGATGTTAGCATGGGCACTAGTAATAGTTTAGAGGGTCTTTATTTCATTCCTTGTAGTACTAAACTTACTTTTATGGACACTTAAACAAGTGAAGCATTACTTTAAAATGAACTAACTCTTGAGTTAAGCATTGTGTAATGAACTGACTCAAGATGTTTATATGCCTCCATACTGAGTGATACATGTCATTCTTAGTAATGCTTGAACACAGTGACTGCCTTCACAAGGAATATTGGAGAACATCTGCTATGGACACAATGCGATGGTAACAGCAGTAGATATTATAAACAAGTGTGCTTTTGTGGTGGGCTAAGTGATGCAAATAAACCTGTGCCTCTTGCAAAAGACACCTTTGTTTAGAGTTATAAATGAAGCCAATTGAATCTTCTTTTATTCTGGTCTAGCCATCTAGAGAGCAGCTGTTTGTCCCAGCATGAATCTAAACTTTTTTTGTACCAGCACAGTTGGGTTTCAATTACGGCAGAGTTACAAGCTCAAAATTTGGACATCAATAATTGAGCTGTTTTCTTTGTTAAACTTCTATCAGATATTGGCCAGGAGTTACAAACTGGGAGTAGTGAGTAATTACAAAATGTCTTACGTATTTTGGATTCTTACAATGATTTTGTTCCATAAAAATCCTTGTTTGAAAGGAAGAAAATAACTGTAAGAATTATGTGTAGTAATGAGAATTCAAAAATGCTCATTTGACCATTGTCCTAAATTTGAGTATACTTAGTTATACACTTGCATAAAATAGTTAATTAACTAGATAGAAGGCTGTTTATTCCTTTGTCCACTTCCTTATACTGACTTCTTGATAGAAAAGTGCAGATAACTGTCAGTATGAGAGAACCAGTATAAATGTTCATTGGATTAGTGAGTGTGCAAACTAATATCTAAATCTTGGATGGCTGATAGAATTGTTGTTGAATGTTTTTTAGAGAATAACAAATAGAGACAAGGTAAGTGAAGCTTATCACTATTCTGTTTCCTCCATGTTTGCAATTGCTTCATGTTTTAATTCCAGAGGAACTTTAATTTTGCAAGCTAGTATCTGAGCTGTTTATCACTGCCTTTTTTAATTAAAACCTTTATTTGAGTGGTGAAAAAGCTTTTAAAGAATCTGGTATTTTTGATCTCTTGAGTATTATTTCATAGTACTTCTGGGTTTTAACGGTCAAATCTTAGGATTTTATCTTAAATCGAATGTCTAGTTGAAAATGTATCTGTAGCTGAACAAATTTCTGAGCTGCTGTTCTGAACAGATAATGCAGTGTAACATTTTCTGTTCAGTTTCCCATTTAAGTAATGATCATTGATTAGTTCACACCAAGGGAGAAGTTGTAATTTCCCTCCAAGTGATTAGAGTATTTCTTATGTTCTAATTCACAGTATTTAGGCAAATATTGAGTTGGACCTGAATTCAGAATATTCATATTCTGAAATTAAGATGTATTTCTGAGACTTCGTTAATATCTTAGGGAAAGAAGAAACAGTTTTCCAGTTCCTAGCCCATAATTCCCATTGTAACATGTCTGATTGCAATTTTTTTTTAAATGAAGCTTTGCTTACAGCAACTGTGTGTCTTAAATTATCTTTTTTTCTGTTTTTACATTTTTAGTGTAATGAATGAAAATTATCATGGATCTTGAGTGAACAGTCAGTTGTTACATAAATCAGAGACAGGTCTGGAATTGTGATTCTGTTTAGTATTATTTGTAATGGGCATCAGTGCAATAGCATATTGTCTCCTCAAAGAGAAATAGTTCAACAGATAACACACCATATATAAACTAGTAATTTAGATTATTTTTGTCATTAACATCTTCTGTTTACTATTACAGCTTTATGCAGGAGCTGTCCTAGAGGTATGTGGATGAAAATTGGGAAGGTTCCCTCAAGTCCAAGGTAAGTAAAGCCACTGCTATTCTTTCAAATATGAAATACTGTCACAGCTGAATGACAAAATGTACTTTTAAGTACTATTACAAGTAGTCATAAGTTTAGTGTATCAGTAAAGTTACATTGACCTGAGACTCATGGAACTGGTCTCCAATAATTGATAGATGAATTTATATTGTGCATTTGTGGAACTACTTTATTTTCACAGATCCTGCCATATAATTGTTTTATCAGTGGATAATGACAGTCAATTAAGGGAATGGAATACAGTAGTGTAAAAGGAAAATCAGTACCATCAATGTGTGGTGGGAGGAAGCAACAGGAAAAGAATCTGTGAGAAATTTCAAACTGGACTTTTCTTATAAACTGGGGAAGAGCTTAGGTGATAGCAGTACTTTGGTTATTTTGGGGGATTTTCCTGTGATGAAGACCCTAATACTGTACTTTGGACATAGTTGGACATAAAGACTAATCTAGCTTTAGAATTAAAAATTGCACAAACAGCATGTTTCCATCTACCATGGGCAGCGTTAATACCTGCCTATATAAAGGTTGGCTGACAAACCAGTAAAAAAAAAAACCAAAGGGGTTTTACAATTTACATAAGTAAATTTTACAGGTTACAATTTACATAAGTTATGCAGCAGCCTGTCACGTGTACCCACACATAGTTCAGTTGAATGACTGCAAGACCAGAGCAAAGTTATTTTCTCTTTTCCACTGTTTAAAATGTTCAAAATAAGAATTGTTTAAATTACTTGTCCTTCTTCAGGGGTCTGAGGAGATTAACTTTGTAAGCACAGGAGTCTCTGTTATCTCCATGATCCTTCAAATTTAGCAAACATAAAAACATTCCCAACTGTTGCCCATTCACTCAGCTGCTTTATGGTTGTGAATTTGTAACAGTTAAGTGCTCCTTTGAGCTATATGTTTGAAGGAAAAGCTCAATCTGTTAACCTGACCCCAGCCTGCAATATGTCCTCCATTATCTTCATGTGTAGGTCCTTAAAGGGAACGGCCCTCACACCATGAAATGTGTTCCAAAGACTTCAAACGGTGCAAAAGGAAAAACTTGAAAATTTTAAATAGTTTTTTTTCCTTTCAATCCTTGGTTATCTAAACTTGCTCAAATATTTACAGTCCATTAATCATATAGCTTACTTTTTAAAAGTAAGTGGCTTTACCACAGCTGAATAAATTTCAGTGTTTCTTAAGTAGATATCTAGTTTGACTACCCCTTTTTCTTTGGTACAATAAGAATTAAAAAAGGACTGTGTAGCGCACCTAAATTTCTCTTTTGCCTTTTCATCACCGATTTCTGCAATTTCTCAGTCTAAGTTTTTCTTAACCAAATTTATTGCTAAGGTATTAGAACAGGTCAGAAGGTGGGATATATTTGAAGAGCATACTTAAAAATTTTAAAAAGCGGTAGAATATATTCTTCCAGCTAGTATTTGTCTTCACACTACTATTAGTCTCAGAATACTTTTACTTAGATTTTCTCTTTGATTTTAACTTCTCTCAGAAACAGTATCTAATGTCTCCATCTTAGGACATTAACATTCGAGAAGTGTTTCTTATTTCAACTTTTCACTTGGATGTTTGCTGCGGAAGTTAGGTTGCCTGAAGGTCATGCTGCTGCTTTTGAAGCATTGTCTTTGTAGGCTTCATTGAGCTGTGTAGCCTGTCATTGACGATGTTTTATCACAAATAACCGATTTCTTTTCCATAGCTTCCGTGAGGATTTTTTAAAAGTTTGTTTGGGTGTGTTTGGGTTTTTTTCCAGAATATACACAAAATTATGCTGTTAATTGCAGGGCTGTGTATGTATTAGAATACATGGATTAGTGTATGTTACTCCTGTAACTGTGAAGTTAAGTACCTTTAAGTACCTGTGTAAATTGTTTTGTCACTTGGCATAGTCCCACAGACTTGATGAGTCTCAGACTACTTCTGGATTATATTTTATTTGACCAAAGAGTGAACAGTGTTGTTTTGGTTTCGGGTTTTTTTTTAATTATGAGATTCACATTTTAAAATAATTAGGGATTAAAATCAGTCAAATTAATAAAGGTTTGTAAAAGTTACACAGTTGGGAAAAACTGTAGGTTGCTCGTGGTTACTAAATGCAATATTCTGTGGTCCTTCTGTATCAAGGCTTCTTTCAGAATTACTGGTTATATAATTTTTAGCTATAAACAGTTGCTGAATACACCTGTGTGCCTGAAATGTGAGAATCATTACATATGGAATATATTTGTAGATACTGGGAGAGCAAAGAAGTGAGAAGTGATGAAAAAAATCTAGTCCTCAGCTAGAGGATGAAAAAGTCTAGTCTTCAGCAAGATTATCTCAGTCTTAAACTGGATATTATTCTTTGTAATGTCACAGCAAACTACTAAATGCTTTTGTGAATATGGCCAAGGATGTTTATTAGGGTTTTCAAATACAGCTTCTTGTGATAAGTCTGGTAACAAACCACATTTCTGTACATCTCTTTTAAGTTCAGTACTGAACTATTTTTCCTGATAAATTTCCCTTAAAAATAAATTGCTCCGTTTTAAATGTTGTACTCTAAAATTAATTCCTATATTACATATATTTTGAAGTTGTTATCTATAAAACTGTTCTTAAATATTTATCATTTAAAAGCACTCTATCAAAGTAGAACATTGAAAACCTAAGTGACAAGTTTCACAGATGAAGCAATACCTTATACCAAGTAACACAAAACGTGACAGTTTTTGGCTGACACCCATAAAACTAAGACTCTGGAATAGAATAGTAAATTATCAGGGTCAGTGATTAATCTAGCATATTTGTTTTAAGTTGAGTTTTCAGTGGCAACTGTGTTCTGTTCACAATGAGATAGGAGATCAGTGTTTAGACTGTTACATTCTCTCTGGTTTGTTTGACAAAAACTGAATTAGGCTGGGTTTTTTCATTGAACATTTCATTTGTATTTCTCTGAATTCTTTTTTTACCAATAAAATAATTCTCACCTCTCCCTGTATGACTCTAAGTTAAGAAATGGATGTGCTCCCAGCAAATCTGTTATGGAAACAAAGTCCTTAATCCTTGAACTCATACAGTAGCCAGCTACATTAGACCTTCTGACTTCAGAGTCAGTAAGCACTATTATATTGCCCAAGTTCTGCAAGTGTGAGGGGAATTCTTTTAGCTACTAAAATGTAATTTCTTTTGGGACTGTATTGTATGAGGTAAGATCACTCATTTCCTAGTTATTTTAATCTGTAATTAATAAATACTGATGAAAGAAAGTCAGAAAATTAAATTAACCTTAAATTTTGCATTGATAGAAGCATTAGTAAAACTCTTGCTAAGAAATGTGAATATTATAGCAGGAGACATGCATCACTTTATCATAATCTTTTGTAAACAGATGATACACAAATTAGAACAGTACTTCTCTTCAGATTCAGAAAAGTCTCTTGCCCAACTGCTTATACAAAGTACCCTGTCTTTGGAGTTTTGTGAAGTTTCTTCTTCAGGCTTGATTGGAGCTCTGTCTTGGATTGGTTTCTGAAAGCATGTGGTGCTTTGTATAAAACCATGAACAGCTGCATTGTAACTTGATTAACAGACTGCAAATAGTAGTTATTGATGTGCCATATGAATTCTTAAGTTTAAATTTTTATCTTAAACTGAGGTCTCTGGAAGGTAAAGAGCTATAGTCATTAAAATGTAAATGAGTGCTTGATGTGTGCTGTAGTTCAGTCTTTTTGCAAGGCTCTCATGGTATCTTTAGAAGCAGGCTCATGTCATCTTCAAAACTGCAGAGCATGTATTTGTCCCCAAAACAAATTTTTAAAGAGTCTGAGGAAAGACTGTAATGCTTATGGTCTGCCTGTATTGCCAGTGATATACATATTCACATTTTGAGCAAATATTGCTAGTTGTCTTAGCAATGCTTAGCTATTGATGACATTATTAAATGTTGGGATTTCCTGTCTTCATAAAATATCCCTCTATTGCTCTTCCTTTTGTTTTGGTTGCATTTCTTTTTCATAGGTTTAACACTTGATAATTGGCAATGTCTCAATAAACCCCTGTCTCAATAAACTCATCCGTCGTAACCCCCTTTTTTAATTCAAGTTCATTTCAGGTACAAAATGGTCAAGTTCTTTGTGCCTTTTCTATGTAAAATTCTGTGACATTATGCACAAACTTGTGTTTCCAGTAAAATTTTTTACTTTCAAACGGCTTGTGGCTAATAATTCAGCGCCAGATAAGCAGACTACCCTTTGTTTCAATAGCTTATCTGAAGTAATATTATATTTGCTTTCTGTTTATTGAAATTAACTCAGAACAACTCTTCGTTGTGCCTGGGAAGATGTGGTGTCATGCCCATTTTGGGTCAGACTCCTGCTGTATCCTGCTGTACCTAAGAGGATAGTGCAGGTGTGTGTGTGCATATACATAGACTTGCTGTTTGGGCCACAGTGATGCTTAATGTCCTTAATAATCTCCACTTAGGACTCTAGGCTTTAGTCCCAGCAGAACTAGTTTTCACAGACTTTCTTAAAACAAAGAGGTGTTATATATAGAAACAAAGGGCGTTATAACAATAGCAGTGAGTTCTCCATTCTACTATGTTCATAGGTAGAGGATGCTTTTAGGTCTTTAGAAGCGCTGTTCAGTATTACCTCTCTCTGCAAAACAGTTTGGTGTGGGGCAGGCTTTAAAATGATCATGCAGACCTGATCCTTCTCTGACCTTTTAGTTGTAGTTGATTGTGTGGTAACACAGTCTGCTCTGTAGGAACACCTCAGGAGTGCCTTCCAACAGAAGGCGTGTGCTTTGGTATTGCACATGTTTTAAAAGAGCATAAGGTAAAGTGATTTTGCAAAGCTGTCAATAGAACAGTTCTTGTAGTCTGGTGTTTAATTCACCAGAACATTGTGCCATGTCACCAAGCTCAGAGTTCATCTTACAGGAGTCAAACTGGAAAATGCCTCCTGTGCTCACCTGTGGATGGATTAGAGAAATGCTTGTTTCTCTGTGGTGTGTAATTTCTAAAGCTGCTACGGAGAGAAGAAAATGGGGAAATAACTAGGATTTCAGTATTAGACATCAAAGTACTAAATAATGGTGTAAAGATGATGTGCAAGTACCCTTTAGACGTAGGAAGCAACAACGTTGATGTCAGGGCATAGAGGAGAAACTGTTGGGGCAGGGCTGAAGGTGGAGCATATATACCACATCCCATGATAAGCAAGCACTTGTGTGTCCCAAACACACAGTGTGCACTGTAGCTGTATCTGACTTCCTAACCTCACCAATTCATTTCAAAGGCTGTTAATTCAACTCAAGGACTGATTTGGTTGAAAGGAAAAAAAAGTATTTGATGGGATAATCTGTATTTTTAATGCATGTCAGTATTTTAGTTTCCCATTTTAGCTTCTAAAATTCAGAATATACAAATTATTTGTACAGTGAGTGTTTTTCTTTGTTGCATTGCAAATTCAAGTGACTGATGCAGAAAGTCACTATGATCAGCATTAGAAATAAATATGCCATAACAGAAACTAATTTCATTCCAGCTGTCTCAAATTTCAGGAAAAAGGTTCTGTAGCGCTTCAGCTTTCAGAAGATTTAGACATTTGACATTGATACCAGTGTGTAATAGCTACTTTTAACGTGACAGAATGTAATGCTGCCTATAGAATACTTTCTTCTTCCACCTAATTCTGTTTCCATTTTATGTGAGCTTGTTCAGTCCAGCACTGCAGCCAGAGAACAGCCGCTCATGTCCAAATGAGCTTTCATCTGTTGCTCAAGTAACAAATTCTCACACCTGTTACAAGCTTAAAGTGCTGTAACCTGAGGTAACTCCCAAAGGCTATTCTTTAATGCAACTGAGTTCTAGAGTTCAGAGTTGCTTTGGAAACTTTATCCATTTTACTGTGCTCTCTTACCATTTTTAAGTTTTGCAAATTAAGTTATTCACTATGCTGAGGGCTTCTTACCACTTTCTATTCATATAAAGCCCTAGAGACTGACTTCAGCTTTATATTTAAATTGAAGAAAAATGTGGAAAAATTCCTCCAGAAATAATTCAGTGTTCTGTGGACTTAACAAAAAATAAGAAATATCTTTGCCACTTTTTTTGCCTGTTCCTGTTGATGACAGCCAAGATGACAGGTCACAAGGACATGGGGAACACTGAAGTTGCAAATATGTCTTTGAGTTTAAATCAGACACTATGTGAGCAAGTACTGGTTATTTAGTGCTATTTGAAATTGTTATACAGTACAAGTTACAATATGGCATTAGTGTACAGTCCTGTAGAAAGAACAAAAACAAGTTTTTATTTTCTTCAGGGGCCTGGCAGCAACTTGGGCCATTGGTATTTTTTTATCTTGTTTATACTGTGTAGTGGTTGGTGCAGCAGACAGAGTATAAGATTTTGATCTGTACTGGGAACACAGTGGAAGAGGGAAGAAAATAAGTGCCACTCTGTATAACCATGTTAGAAAGTGTTAAGGTAACTGCCGTAATATAAAGATAGGTATAAAGATGCCAGGAGACATGTCTGCAATTACTGAGGAAAGCACTGCACTTTGTGAGGCAGTATGAAACATTAGTCCTGAGGTTGCACTCATCTCCATGCACCAGTTGGATGCAGTGCCATTTGTGAGAGATTCATTGTGGTCTGACCTTGAAAAAGCAGCTTGAACATGCAGCCAGCACCTTTGTAAGAGTCAATCCATACTGACAGGGTTCATCCTTGGGGAGATGATACTGACGTACTACAGGAGTGTCCTGAATCCACTTAATGTCAATACAGATACTAAACTCAGCCTTTAGCACAGCCTGACTGTAAAAGGGAGTAATGAGGACTGTATTTTCTAAATAAATCCTAAATACTTCTAGAACTCAGGCATTCATTAGAGTAAAGTGTTGGAAGGAGGGGATTATACTCACCATTTATCCTGAAATAATTTATATTGTCTTTTCAAAGTTAAGGTTAAAGCCTGGGTTGTGCTGTAGCAATACAGGGACTGTGCTGCTGCTGTTAATACCCACTGTTTGCTGACTAGTGCTTCAAGTGAGGAGTTGTGCAGCAGCAGCCCCACCTCAGATGGGAACTTCTCTCCATGTAGCTGCCTGACAGGCCATGGAGTCTGTCTTAAAGCCTATTGCCTTTAGGAGTGTCAAGAGAAGAGGAGATACCAGCTTCTCCTCTTGTTTTCTGGTCTTGTTTTCTTGCTGGTTTTCAACACATAATCTCAGAGATCTCTGCAAGATAAGATTGTCTGTCTTGTTTGCAAGAATAACACCTCTACCCACAGTTTCCTCTGTGCCCTTTCCCCCGCACTGCTGCAGTGTGTGTGGAGTGTGCTGATGAGATGGGTGTCATACTCAGCCTCCCTCACAAAGCTTATCTGCAGCCAGATTTTGATCGCTCTAACGCTTCTCCTCACATTTGCGTATCGCAGCAGCATATGGGCCACTCTGCTGAAGGCTGTCAGTTGTACGTGCAGATAAACTGACTTATACAGTTCCACTAGCGTTCGAGGAAAATCCAAGCAGATCTGAATCTTGTTCAGATTACCAACAAAAATAGGTGTTCCTCTGGCATAGTAAGTTTAACATTATTAATTTCATGAAGATATTAAGGTTTTTAAGATTAAAATATCTTCTAAAGCATCATTCCAAAAGAAATAATTTGTTGAATACTAAGTTAATGTAAATCTACTCAATGCAAGTGGAGAAGAGTTTGATTTTCTGTCTTTCTTTTCTCCAACCATAGCTTTTGTCAGGAGTGATAAGCCAAAGCTCTTCAGGGGACTGCAAATCAAGGTGAGTAGTAGCCTAACTTTTTTTGCAGGATGTTAGGAAGAATTAAGTTTGGTGGAGATAGTCCTCCTGTGGATTGTTCTCTATTTGCTGATCAGGAAATCCTTTAATAGAGGACATATATTTGTACTGCCAGTATGAATCTTCACAAGTTTCTGCTAGTTATATTAGTTTGTTTATTGCTCAGTAACCGGTACCAATTCTTTGGTGGTGGTGGGGTTTTGGTTTATTTTATTGTTGTTTGGTTTTAAGCCAAGAAAAAAATTATACTGTAACCTGTAATAGCAGATGGGAAAAGAATGTAAGGAATGCTTACATTCTATCCATACTTTGTGGATATCTTGAATTTACTTAAGCTTATTCTGCCATAGTTTCCTTTTCTCCTGTTCTATTCTCCCCTCATTTTCTTATGGAGCTGCCATTTCCACACATTCAGTGATTCCTATATTTTTCTCCTCCCTCGCAGAATTTTCTTGCTGTGTTCTATTGTGCTGTTTTTATTTTATAGACTTCAAACATCCAACTTTATAGAAATGCACATACTGAATGCTGTTTCTTTTGACTTGCATATATGCAAAGCTGCATAAGCTGCACTGCCTTAAGTCCCAACAATTCTTTGGTTTCCAGATCTAGTGTAAGACTTCACCTTCCTCTTAAAATCCTGTGTGAACTTTGAGTGTACTTCACAGATACACATCTTGATTCTCACATCTTGTGCTCCCATCTCTATTCCCCAAATGGCACCATCTGGAATCACTTCATAGCTATGCACGGCTGCAATAAGTGATTTGTCTTCTCAGCAGCAGATTCCATCTAAAACAGATTTCCTCTGTCTGTCTCACACATTCATGTCTCCGTGTCCTCCAGTTTCTTTCAAAAGCTTTCTCTCCTTCTGCACGTCTGACTGTTTCTTTTTTTTTTAAACTTTGTAGATTTATTGAACATCAAAGCAGTCTAGACTACAATTGGTATAGAGCAGTACCAGAAAAAAAAATGTGCAAATTAATCTGTATTTATTTTACAAGACTTTTGGAAAACCAATTAGAGGTGCCACTAGCTTCATTAAGTAAAACCAACTATGTTAGCTCAGTCAAGCAAAGTGAAATACTCCTGGGGAAATCTTTCCATAAACTGAAATGGTCAGAGCTTTTTAATACTGTTAAAAGCCTTTATCTGTGTTACCTATTTGTGACTTAGTGAGTTTGCAGAAGCACTAAAGAATTGTATTACCTAGGCACAGTTACAACACGGCAGGAAAGAATGTGATTACATTAGAAATTGATAGAAATTGATGTTAAAGTGGCCTGAAATTTCTAAAATGGTAAAAAGGCTATTGATCACATGAGAAAGATCGTTCATCTGCTTGATTCAAAAATCCAACTTTGGTAACTTAAAACAGTTGAAGTAAATACCATCTTTCAAAGCCAGGCTTATGGCATTGCCTCTCTGCACATGCATTAACTGGTGTGGTGCACCAAGGAGAACAAGTAGATGTTTCTGACACACACCCTCACTCCCCTTCGTTTGACTTGTTCCTCCACTTTGCTCTCTTTGACATTAAATGCAAGTCAGAAGTCTGAACTGCTTTAAATCACTAGAGAGCAGGGGAGGTGTTAATATGGAAAATGCATTTCCTGCCCAAGGTAACTTACTCTTCTTTTTTTTCCCCACAGTATGTGCGTGGTTCTGACCCTGTACTAAAGCTGCTGGATGACAATGGGAACATTGCAGAAGAACTGAGCATCCTCAAGTGGAATACAGATAGTGTGGAAGAATTTCTAAGTGAAAAATTAGAACGTCTATAAATCATTGCTTTCCATCCTTTCTCTTTTTCATATTTTGTCATGGTAATCTTCTCAGATGAATTGTCCTACAATTGAAAACACATTCCAGCTTCTGTATTTGTTTTAAAATATCTGTTGTGCTGTACTAAACATCTTGTAATTAGAAGGGAAGCTTCAGCACACATATCTGACAAGTTGACAAACAATAGCTTGTCTTAACATTATTATTTCAGCTCTTAATGCATTTATCACTAACAAAATGCCTCGTTTTAAAGTTAATTATGCAAATATCAGTTTGTTATAATTGGACCTCTTTTTACAAATGCTCTTAAAATCGAAGAGCTTCAAATAATTGAAATGATCGCCATACTTTTTGTCTGCTGCTTTTTCTAAGGAAGTCAGAACCAAATGCAATCTTCTATCTCCCAAAGAAACTTGGCTACTAATGCCCTCTTCTTTTTTTTTGTATTTGAACTGTCCTTTTATAGAAGCATTGTTTGCAGTGAGTATCTAGTTCACAGGTTTTGAAGCTGATGGAGGAACTCATGCTCTGATACTGTGAAACATTTAGTAAGCACACTTTAGTGAAGACTACATAGAAAACCTCTGAGGTATATGGAAGTCAGATGTCAGGTGTGCTTTACATTAAGTGTTTTGCTTCAGAAAACGTGAGCTATAAGTTTTGAAAAAGCTTTCCTTCTAAATAATAAACTTTCAGAAATGTATTGTAAGCCTGTTTATCAAATTAATTTAGAAGCTGTTCTTTTAAAATGTATATTTTTCTTTCTCACTTGAAATTTATGTGAACAGGGAATATAGACAGTACGTATGATAATGGGTCAAATCCATTAATACTTGTCAGGTTTTTCCAGTTAGAATCAATAAATATGGTAATCAAGAATAATGTGGGTTTTTTTCTGAAGTCTAATGAGTAAATAAATTTTCCCTTTAACTACTTAATGCTCACCAGTTTTTGGTTGGCTGGCTGTTATGCTATGACTTGAAGTGGTACTCAGGTTTTGTCTTCATATATAATTTTATATCTCAAGCAATTTCTCTATAATTACAGATCTTATTCCCAGCTTTGGAGAAGAACTCATCAGCTTCATAGCAGAACAATAAACCTGGGACTTGAGACCACACTAAACTATCAGGAGCAATATTCAAAGGTGATTCTTTAGGCATAGCCTTCGGAGTTTTTATTCCTGAAATATTCTTATAAACTCGAAGAAGGTGCGTGCAGCTGGGTCACATGATGTCTCACTCTCATGCTGTGTCTTTCACTCCTGTCCTTGTGAACATGCTCCTTGCCTCCCAGATGACTCAGCTACAACACTGGTCACCACTGTCTTGGAGAAACATAATCTGTACATAAAAAGCACAAATCTTTGCAGCTTGTGCTGACTTATTAGAGTCAAACATGGATTTGTTCTTGGGATATATGAAATATTAGTCAGCAGAGGAGCTACAACCAAAGCATGTGGCATGATGACCAGTATTTTGGTAGCAAAAACATGCTGCCATCCACTGGTCTTTTAATATACTGACTGTATTCCATACTTCCCATTCCTGTGTCTTCCAGCAAGGGATTTCAGTTTCTGTATGGATGATTAAGCATGCTGTTTTAGCAGAATATTTTAACCTCGTCCTTCTCTCCAGCTTTAGGTCCTCTTTATCATGCAACAGAGAGATTGTTTTCTTCATTTAATATTTACCTAGTATTTTTCTCTGCTTCTCTATGATTCCTTCCTTGTCCTTAACATGACAGCAAGTGTTTCTGACCTTCAATCTCCCTTTTCTTTCCATGTCTTCCTACTGCCAGCCCAGTACTTCCCTACACAGACTTGGTCTTCCCACACCAGGTCTTTCACTGCTGCTCTTGCTTGTCTGTTACAGAAGCAAGAAACTCACTCTTGTATACTAGGAGATAACCATCCCAGAGTGGAGGAGGATGACAGGCCAAAGAATTTCTCCTCCAGCATCACTGAGTTTTAAGACTGCAGTCACAGTACTATTTCTGCAACTTCTGACCTTTCCCAGTACTAGTTCTCACATATTTCCTCCTTTAAGGAGACCGGAAATGAGCTTTTCTCTCAGTTTTTTCTCCTAGGTTCCTGATTTGCTGATTCCTATTCCACATACTAATCTGGCCTTGTAATACAGATACTTATTCTCTTAGCTTAAAAGCATGCACAAGGTACATTCCTGTATTTCCCTATATATAGGAACATGTAAAAGTCTTCCCTGATTCTGTTCCTGGGATGCTGAGCCCTGATCCTACTCAATCTGTAGCTTCTAGCAAAAGCTTAATTACCTACACTTCCTGACCTGTTGGCTGTGCTCCATGCTGTTCTTGAAGTGTCGAATTCATACTGTCCTGGCTTTATTCTTTCTCATTCTGTCCTTTAGATGATACTCAGGGTCTTGGCTCTAGTGACATTCGCTAGGAACATTTAACATTCTGGCACAAATGAGTTGGGCTTTGTGCTAAAAGAGGCAATTAGAGTGGGGAATAATTTCTTTTGGAAATTCTTAAGTTTCTATTTATCAGTGTGAGGTTTTTTCTCCAGTCTGCAGCTGTGAAAATTCATAGAGCTCAAAAGGTTATTTTGGCTTGTGGCAATTAACCACACAGAATACAAGGTTGAAAGCTCCAGTTTAAAAAGGAAGTGATTCATTTTTACTTATAGCCATGATAAGCACCCAGTACTTCATGAAAGGCATTCACTCAGACTTATGTAAGAATTATTTAATCTTATATAATGCTCTTGTTGTGCCAAATCTTGAGAGAGTTAATGAAAGGACAAATAAAAGCAGCAGGCATGCATGACTGAGTTGGAACATGAACTGTCCATCTACTACTCCTGTCTTTTTAGAAGGAAAAAAGCAATCTTTTTGCAGAAAAGAGTATCTGTGCTTTTAAGAGGAAAATGTGTTGAACATTCCATTTTACACACAGATATGATGTGGAGGAACTTGAAGCATAGTGTACAAGCTACTTGGAAGGGTTTCCTGAGTACTTGCTCAGTCATAGATTCCTGCAATGTGAATCTGAATACCATGATCGTAGCAGGCAAAAATCTGTTTCAGAGCTAAGGGAAACCTTCCAGTAGACATTAAATTCATGGAAAGAAAGTATTCAACTCAGTATTTGTTTTATTGTTCAGCCCTGAGATAGAACAAGAACAGATTGCCAACTTAATGAAAAGCACACATGAAAAAATTGTGTTCAGAAACCTGAACACTTATTGAGAGTGTCACTGTTTATTGAACCTGAGCTTTCAGAAGCAAAATAAATCTTATGTTCAGCCAGGGAGATTAGACATCTCACCCCACAAAAAAAAAAAAAAAAAGAAAGAAAAAGACAAGAAAATGCTTTATTGTCATTCTAATTTACCAGCATGGAAGGTGGATGGTAAAAGCTGCAGTAGAACTTCTTTACATTGTACCCATAAAGGGTCAAATCTAATGACATAGATTTCAAGAGTGCCGTGCAAGGAACACCATCATTTGCTGGTTCTTGCTGTGTATAAGGAAGGTTTTTTTGCTAGGGATGCTTTGACCACTTACAGTAGATGGACTTTGAAATTAGTCAAGTATGCCTCAAGAAGGGTCCATTAAATGCTAAAATGCAGAGTATTTATCTCAGAAGCAGCTAAAGAAAACTTCTGAATTTGTGTGGTTTTCCTTAAATTAATAACTAACTGTTAAGGCCCAACCCAATAGCTTTGAAACAAATTTGCTGTCATGTCTAAGAGGAAGAGCCTAAGAGGCTCTAAGAGGGAGAAAATACCCAAGGAGACACAGAACAGACAGGCCTCTGATATGTTATTGAACACTGTGGTTCAGAATGCCAGCTTCCCTCTCAAATGCACTGTCATAAGCAGAAGGTAGCTGGAAAATATTATCAGTAATTTTTTCCTTATCACTTGTCTTGAAGGATGGGCAGAAGGAAATGCATTATGAAATTAGTCACTAGTGAGCTCAGACAGGAGACAAACTACAGAATTGATCAGAGTATTCTTGCACCATGGCACCAGGTGAACAAAGACTGTCTCAAAGAGTACCTGATTATCTGTTTAGAAATAGGCCTTGTTCATCATCAAGAATCCATCAGCTTTGTTGCTGTCCAAGAAACAAGGTATCTAACTACTTGTTTCAGCTGCACCTTGTACACTGAAAGCCTCACATACAGCAGCCCTTGTGTCCACCAATGTGGAAGTTAAAGTGTCTAAACACTGAGAAATGGAAGAGGGCTCTCAGCACCTCCCACTACTGAGGCAACCATGATAAAAAGAGTTGACCATGTTTACCCTTGCATCAAGGAAGCACTTCTTTTGAGTCATAGTTCATTTTGTCTGCTGTCATACTTTAACCCCAGCTGACAGCTAAGTACCATGTGGTTGCCTGCTCACTCCCCATCCTATGGTGGAAAGAGGAGGAGAATTGGAAAAGGTACTGAAAGATGTTCTCTTGACAATGATCTTTTGAGGTTGGATTTAACTTGGTTAGCTAGGAGCCTTTCTGACTCTGCCCTTAAGATAAAAGCAAGACTTGTAGGAAAAGCACATAATTTAGTATTTGCTCTTGCATACTTGGTGCCAAACTATGATTGGAAGGACAATCCTGTTTTGGTATAGACTAATCCCTTTTAACCCAGTATGATCTTCATGTAGTTATATCAGTGGAACAGTGGTTCAAACCATGGACTAATGCATTCTGTACCTTAAATATGGGCAGAGTAAAATTTCCACTGTTTTCTATTGTGGGATGTATGTAATTTGAAGGCAGAATGTCTGTCAAACCTATCTCTAGGTTACAGTTCCTGCCTAGGCTAGAAATTCCAAGGGCAAACAGATAGTGGAGGAGGATAAGCAGAGAATAAAATAGTTAAGACAATTTTTTTTGCTCCACCCCTTTCCCTGCATTCAATGACCTCATTTCCCAATGTTATTCTACATTTTAGGCCACCTGACCCAGTTTCTGGAAAACTCGGATCTTTGCTAAGGAGAGGTCTTGGGAAAAGACACGTCTTTAACCAGCAGGTTGAGGTGGCTCGTGGTGAAACACCTCAGAGTCTCTGTACTCAGTGCAGCCAGGCTCCAACCCTCAGAGTTTCCAGTCAGACTATGACTCCTAATGCTGCCAGCTTGTCTTTTCCCCTCCTGGGTCTGACAGCAGAGCTGTAATAAGGTGACAAACCGCAGCTTCCCTCCACTCCCAGGGGTGCAGAAACACCCGCATCCATGCTCCAGCGTTAGTCAGGCATGCCCCAACCGAAGCAGCCATGTCTCCAGAGTGGAGTCTTGCTAATACTTTTATTAGATTATCTGCATCATTCACAGAGTATCTGGTTTTATGACCTGTCACTTCCGAACTCCACCACCCCCCACACCACACACATGCCTGGGAGCCCGGCCAGGCTTTCCCCACACAGATGCCTGGCCTTGCTGTGGAGGGGTACTGGAGGGGCCCCACACACAGCAAGGCCCTGAGGGCAACAGCCCCACCTTCGACCTTGCCGAAAGGTTGCTGAAGGGACTGTGACGAAAAGGATCCACAATCTGATTTTCCAGGTTGTGAGGAGTAGGCAGAGGTGTGTCACCAGCTCTGAGACAGCCTCCCTATGACCTCCCAGCTTGGGCTGGACCTCTGCCTGCTGCAGCAGCAGCTCCCTCTATAGCTGGCACTGGCTCCCCAGTCCTGTCATGCCAGAGGCCATGGCCCATCAGAACAGCAAATCCAGAGAAACTAAATCAAAGCAGACCTTTTACTACTTAATCCTGGCATTAAAGACTCAGGTCTCCTGAAGAAAAGCATGGCAGCTGTCACTGGCCCTCATACAGATTTGCCAGGCTAAGAAATAAACCTCACAGATCATTTCTGCATCGCTGGAACAAAAGGCAGTTCCTTCCATCAGGCAGTGAAACAAACATTAGGGGACATCTGACACCCACCCA